GTACGAATTATTTAATATATGAAATTAGCAGTTTGTGACCAATCAGGGTAGTGACCGTTTTGTTTGGTGGAAGCCATATTTGTCTGAAAATTGTATTTTCATAGGAAAATATACGGAGTGGTCTATGCAAATAAATGAAGCTTGTGTATTATGTAAGATATGATTGTTGCGGAGAAATCCATCTACTTGACTGTTTAATGTCATTGTTGGTTAGATGTTATTAATTGACTGCGTGCACGCTTTTTGGTCCTATTTTGAATTTATCTGGTTACGCTAGAATGGTGGCGTGTTTGGGCTTTAATTTATATAAGTGATTTTTCGCTCTAGGGTTTTTACTGGCAAGCTTTGACAATTGCATCCTCTGCCGATCCATATTTTAATTGAATTCATTGTTTTTGTTTTAGCAGTTTAATGGAGAAGGAACCACATCCGGATCTCTCTCATGGGACTTTGAATTATCAAAATAATAATTTTAGTCATTCGAATTCTTTAACAACACTGAATTCTAACTATCCCAACTCCAGTGACCGTACACATCTTCAGCAACAGTATAGCGGAAATACCTCTCAACCCTCTCAGCACGTTTTATCTGTTCAGACTTCTGATTCGGCGCGTTGCGCTACTGACAGTTCGGGTACTGTTATAGTCCCTGGCTGTTCGTCATTAAGCTCTCGACTTGCTCCTGGGCAAGGCCCTGTTTACATGAAGGCTCAGCCTTCACAAGGTCTGAATACCTATTCGGAAGCAAGTAAATCCTCTGCTCAAACTTTCTACGGGGTAGGTCCTTCTGTTACCCCATCTGGTCAAGGAACTGTGTCTACTGCATATGTTCCGCACGCTAACCTGCAAAGTGCTCCCGGCCCACCGTCACGTTTCAGCGGTTCCAATTACTCGAATCCGATGACGACTTCAACAATTCAGAACTCTCAAGCTCCTGGGTCTTCCTCCTCAGCAACTGACCTCGAAAAACGGCAACTCATTCAACAACAACTCCTCTTGTTGCTTCACGCCCAGTGCTGCCGACAGGAACAGACGCATTCTACGCCTTGCGCTACTCCTCACTGTCGCACCATGCGGAATGTCCTCCAGCACATGAAAAATTGCACTGAAGGGAAGAACTGTCGGAAGCCGCATTGCGCTTCATCGCGACAGATCATTTCTCATTGGAAAAATTGTAGCAGTCGGGAGTGTCCGGTATGCGGACCTTTGAAGCGAGGTCATCAACAGAGAGCAGCTCCACAGCGGCCTCCTGGTCAGATTATTCCTACCGCTTCGCAGCCCAGTGATGTGAATGGAGTCTCTTCCGGCCAGTCAGCTCAAGCACTTCGTTCTCCAGTGCCTCAAAATGTTAGAAGGTCTCTTCCGGCAGCCACAGCCACTTCTACACCTCAGGTCAGGATTACTGGAGCCTACACCCAATCGGTGCCCGCTTCTAGCGTTGGGACAACTCCTTCTCAAAGCGGGAATGAGAGTGTTGAGCAGACGGATTGGCGAGCTGGTGTAAACATGGAACATCGGGATCATGTTGTTCGTAGAATGTAAGTTACCACATGTTTTGTATCGGTATTTTTAGAGTCAAGTATATCTTGCCACAGCCTGATCCTGCGGCTTACAGTGATCCGCGTATGGCCAACTTGATTGAGTACGCAAAGAAGGTGGAAAACGCCATGTACACTACGGCTAAAGATAAAACGGAGTACTTTCAATTACTCTCGGAGAGGTGTTATAAAATATACAAGGAGTTGGAGGAGGCTCGGCGTAGGAGAAAAAGTGCTGCTTCTGCCTCTGGGAATGGGTCCGCATCTTCCATTCCAAATGATTCGGCTGTTGGTGCCAACAACTCATCAGATACATCCGCAAACTCTGTGGAACCTGACAGAATGACTCCGAATAGAGGTTCTGTATCTACTGAATATCGTCCCAACATTTCCAACTCCAATACTGAATTCAACCAAGAATCAGATTCGAGGGATAGCGTTGTCGGTTTCAAAAAGGAAGAAGAGGTGAAGCCGTTTGTTTCTGATACAAATCAGTCTAATTCTTCGATCAACGAGATAAAAAAGATTCAAATCAAACCCGACGACTCTCTTTCGTCCGTTGCATCTATTCCCACAAGTGGCGCGTTGGGTTCTGCTGCTGTTACTGACAGCACCAAAGTTGATGAGTCCAAATGGAAAAAGTGGTCTCGAGAAGAACTTTTACGTCACTTTTTGCGTCTCCATGAGGAAGTTTACGCTGACAAAAACGCTGAGTGGTTTCGTGATCCAGTAGATCCAGTCGCTTTAAACATACCAGATTACCCAGAGGTTATCAAACACCCCATGGACCTAACCACGATCCGGAATAATCTGGAAGACGGTGTATACAAGGATCCATGGGAAGTACTGAATCACTTTCGTTTAATGTTCAACAATGCCTGGCTATATAACAAGAAAAATTCTAAAGTTTATAAAATGTGCACTAAGGTAGGACACACTTCTTTCAAATGAGTCTTTTAGTTGTCGGAGTTATTCGAAAGTCAAGTCGATCAAGTGATGCAGGCGATGGGGTTTTGCTGTGGGCATGAATATTCCTATCAGCAAATCCTATATTGCAGCTCTGCAAATGTGTGCACTATTGGTAAAGATGCGCATTACTATATGTACACTAATACGTAAGTTGATGCTATCTTTCACGTTCTGCCTTTAGCGACAAAAGAGTTCTTATCTGTGATACTTACTACCAATGCGAGAAATGTTTTAACGAAGCGGGAGATGAGATAATGCTTGCGGACGAGGCTAATCAGACCCCGATGTATGTTTTATAACTTCAGAATTCATTTTTTTCTCCAGTCCTATTAGAAAGGAGCTTTTTGAGCGAAAAAAGAATAACGTGACTATAGAGGAGACAGATGTTCATTGTAAGGAATGTGGTCGTCGTTGGCACAAGGTTTGCGCGCTTCACATGGACGAGATTTGGACGACAGGATTCGTTTGTCCTGGATGTCTGCGAGAGCGTGGCCTAAGGCGGAAGGAAAATCGTTTTACTGCTAAAAATTTGCCTACTAATAAGCTAAGTAATTTCCTTGAACGCAGGGTCAATGATTTCTTAAAGAAAAAGGAGGTGGGCACAGGGGAAGTGACGATTCGCGTACTCGCCAGCTCTGACAAATTGGTTGAGGTGAAACCGCTGATGCGAGGTCGTTTTACAGAAAGTGGAGAGTTGTCTGAAAGCTTTCCTTACCGCCTGAAAGCCATCTTTGCATTTCAAGAAATTGACGGTCAGGACGTCTGCTTTTTTGGCTTGTACATCCAAGAGTACGGTTCTGAGTCTCCTCAGCCGAACCGAAGGCGTGTCTATGTAGCCTACTTGGACTCTGTATTTTATTTCCGCCCGAAGCAGTACCGAACGGATGTCTATCATGAGATTCTGGTTGGGTATTTGCACTACGCCAAGCAACTGGGCTATACAATGGCTCACATTTGGGCTTGTCCTCCGGCCGAAGGAGATGACTACATCTTCCACATGCATCCCCTTGAGCAAAGAATTCCTAAAGCTAAGCGCCTTCAGGACTGGTACAAAAGAATGTTGCAGAAGGCGATGATTGAGGGTATTGTTGCAGATTTCAAAGACATACTCAAGGATGCCATTGATCATCATCTAGTGTCTCCTACAGAAATTCCCTACTTTGAGGGTGATTTTTGGCCAAATACTCTAGAGGAAATTTTGCAGGTTAGTGTGCTAGTTCTTATTGCTATTGGTCATGCTTTTGGACTAATAAGTGTCTTTGATTCAAGAATTGTTTGAAATCGTGTAGCGTTTTCAACATGGTAGTCACTTAAACAGGTGTCATTATTTTTTAAACTTTCCAGCCTAGATGGGTTGACTTGGTAAATTTGTCTGCGTGAGTTTCCTAGCATTTTTAAATACGATTTGTTAGCTAGTTTTTTCCCGTAATAAGTTTCTAACTATATTGGGAGTATTATTAGCCTTTAAGCGAGTTAAAACTCTCTTGACCTCTCTTGGTTTCTTTTGACAAGCTCCGAAGTCTCCTTCATGGGTCAAAATCCCAGCCTAATCAAATCGTCAAATTCAAATTTCTGTTTTTGCACTCGATTTTTTCTACTCTATTCCGAGATATCTAAGCTAGTCTGCCGTTCTTTATTTGTGCCTAACAGTTACTTTCATATTTTCATCATGCCTAACTTCGATTGCCTATGGTAGTCTCTAGTGTTTTCGAAATAATAGGCATAGATTTGTAACAAGACTTTACTTACTAATTATATGAGCTAACTTCGTTTTCATCAATCAAAGTGCATTTTAGTATTACACTCCCCAAGCTCATCGCCCGAGCCCGCGTTCTCATAAATAACCACTAGTGTTTTGTAACTACAGTCGATTGTAGATTTTCACTAATTTAAAAAATGTAATGAATTGACTTAAGGTGGACTTTGTACTGTTTTAGGACTTGGACAAGGAGGAGGAGCGTCGGCGCCGCGAAGAGGCCTTGGCTGAGACCGAAGACGACGATCTTGACGGGTCTCGTGATCGAGACGGTGGTCATGGTGACTTGGACAAACGATCCGGCAAAAAGAAAGCGAAAAAGCGCAAATGTAGCAAAAAGGCTGGTGGCTCTACTGCTAACAAGCGTAAGAAGCTTGACGGGCCAGTGGATTGTAATACAGAGCTTACACGTAAGGTGTACGACACGATGGAGAAGCTGAAGGAGATATTCTTCGTTATTCGACTGCATAAACACGGGGCCACTGCATCTCTCCCACCTATCGTAGATCCAGACGCTCTCATCTCCAGTGAATTGATGGACAGTCGCGACTCCTTCCTCCAAATGGCTAGGGAAAAGCATCTCGAGTTCTCTTCACTTAGGCGAGCCAAGTACTCAACTTTGGTGATGCTTTACGAGTTGCATAACGAGGGCAGACAGAGCTTTCTCTACACTTGCAATGTGTGCAAAGACCAAATTGAAACTCGGTGGCACTGCAACGAGTGCGATGAGTACGATCTTTGCAATCAATGTTACAAGCGGGAAAATCATCCTCATCCTATGGAACAGTATGGTCTAGGTATTGAGGAGGAAGGCTCCAACGCCAATGGTGAGTCCAGTGGGGATCGTCCAGCAGGAAGCACGGACAGAAAGCCTAATCTTGTCTCGTGTATCGCCGCTTTGGTTCACGCCAATCAATGTCGTGATGCAAACTGTCGTATGGCTACTTGTATTCAGATGAAGAGAGTTTTGGCACATCTGCGCGCCTGTCCGAAACGCTCCAGCGGAACATGCCCACTGTGCCGTCAACTTATTAGCATGTGTTGTTTGCACGCCAAAGCCTGTACGGAAGAACAATGCCAAGTGCCACTGTGTCCCCAACTCAAAGATAGACTTCGTCAACAACAGATTCAGAAACGGCGTCAGCAGAACAAGTCCTTGCAAAGGAGAACAAACCTCACTCGCGGATCCACTGGTGCGGATTCCTCTGCTACTACTTCGGGCTATCATTCTCAGTATGGAGCGCAAGGGAACTCTTCTGTCCAGTCGTCGAGTGATCTTTCCACTTCCGTGGGTGATTCGCGGCAGATTTCGCGGAACTCGTCATTCAGCAGTTCTACCGATGGCAATAGGGTTGGAAATTTGCAGACCCTTTCCGTTAATGGTGGAATGACGGTGGCGGCATCTCCAAGGGTCCTGCCTGCGCCTTCGTTCTCACTTCAGGGTCAACAGCCATCGAGGTTGCCTGCTGCTTCTTCACAACTGGTTTGGAGGGATGGGCAGCCACCTCCTTCGCAGCAGGTGGGACAAATGCAGCTGCTACAGCAGCAGCCTCCGTCACAGCAACAGCAATCCATGACACCTACGTCGTCCTTCCGATCTGGAGGTGGTGGTGGTGGCAGTGCTCTTGTGACTCCAGAGGTTAATAGCCTGCCACCTACCCAACAACAAATCGACCACGTTGTAAAAGTGGTCGACCTCATCAGAAGGACACCGGCTTCTCAGGAGGAGCAAAACAAACAGGTGTGAAGTGGTTGCTTTCCTTGAAATGGTCGATTTTCTTAGATCCTTATTCTGGATTCTCCTTTGTTACAGTCGAGAAAGGTTGTAAGTTGTTTTGCGGGCTGCGTATTTCCGTAAGTCATTGAACCTGTAAATTAGGGTTGAAATCGCTCGCTTTGGTAAAGAGGTAATTTAGCTTTTAAGTAGCCTATCTAGCGATCTCTTACACTTATTCGATTGCACTGCTTGGTAGTTCAGTAGATCAAATTAACTAAAAGTCATTTCGATTGTAATTTTTCGGCAAAATGTGATTCAGTTCTTGGGTGTAGTTTGCTGTTGCAAAGTTGGCTGATCTCTTTAGTCGAATAATCTACTTTGTCGCCAAGCTGGTTGTGATTCATTCTGCAATCGACTTGTTAGGCCAAATATCCTGTCGTCAAAGTTATTCTTTATATTGCCCACAAATCTTTGTTTTGTGGTAGTGTAATGTAATATCAACAGTAAATCGGTTACCGTAATTAGTTTTACTTAGTACTCTTTCACGATCTCGGATGCTCAGTTCCTATAATCTACCCGGCTGTAGTTTATCAACTGGATTAATCGTCACCCCGAGTTTCGGCCAGCTTTCCTTGCCCTGCGCGGACGAAATAGACAAGCTGCCAATCAAAACCAGCGCGTAGCGCAACAACCAACTGTTGGCCACCAAGCTCCCGGTGTCCAACCCCAATCCGCGGTGGGTGTTACGCCCATTCAACCGTCTTCGTCATCAACCACCGTCATTTCCTACAACCAGGCCGCAGAGTCTATTCCCTCGACATCGACAGTCTCTCAACCGAGACAAGTTGCCATCAGCGCAGCGGTTGGTCAGCGTCAGTTTTCACAGCAACAACAACCGGCACAATTCGCTTCTCAGATAGCCGATCAACAACAGCAGCAACAGTATGTGATTGCACAGCCGATGCGTGTTCGTACCCTACCTGGAGGACCGGCTGTTATTCAGCAACAAGTCCAACCTCAGACCCAGCACCCAGGTGACCAACAGTGGTTCGTTACTCGTGTTCGTACGGGCCCTGGACAGCAGCAACAGCAGCTCTATTCCAATAGTAGTCCTGGGGGTGTGCAATCCTCGGCAGCAGTGTATACGGCAACAGGAGGGGGAGGTGGAGGTGGTGGAGCCACATTATTGACGACAATTGGAGCCGGTAGTGGGGGCCCCCAACAAACTCAGCATCATCCGCAGCAGATTATTTCACAGTCAAGGCTCATTCCAGCCGTGACTGCAGGCAGTGGCGGTCAAAGAGTCGGCGGCCAATCCACCACAGTGGTTCATTTCAGGGCGGCTCCTCAACAACAAGCGCAGCAACAGCAACAGCAGATGGCTCAACCGCAACAGCAACAACACATTCTTGTAGCCAACCCTGTTACCTCGAATCCACAGCAGCAGCAACAGCCACCTTCGCAGCAGCGTCCAATTGTGGCTCTAATGCAGCAGCCGTCCCCACAGAATCCACAACTGTTGAAGCCTCAACAGCAACAGCAGCAGCAACCGCCACCCCAGAATCCTCCATCCTCCTCAAACAATCCCTCGGGCTCGTGATTTTAGCTTCCTGATGATGACCTCTTCACGTATGTTAGCTCTTCGAGTAGAGGTTGTCTGTACCATCGCATTTCTCCCTCCTTCCTATTCCGTTTGTTTCGGCTTACTTGTGCATGTCCGCGCACTGCAACAGGACCTCTTCTTCCCCACTTGTGCTGAGACTTTTTTTACTTACGTATCAATCATGTACTAGCGGCGCGCGCGAAACTCTAAATTAAACACTACCACCACAAGCCTCGTGGGAAAGTCGTGGTGCCTACCATCGAGATGCCGTCGGCTGCATGAGGGTGTGTGCGTGGATGTAACTCAGCGCCATTCTCTCCGTATTGTCCTGATCAGTGAAGTACTGCTATCTGTGTCACCGTACTCCAGCGGGGATGCGCATACCTTCCACCGGTCATCGCTCACAATTTCTCCTGCTCCACTATCCTCACTGTGTATGCACCGCGACCACCAACTTGTACATGTTACCGTCTCCTTCTCTTCCTGTGTACTGGTCGAAGCGCGTGTCACTTTAGCGCTGTTTCAATTATATGTGTATATAAGCCTCCTTTTTCTCAATCTTTCTGTCCATCACATAAACACTTTGTGGGCTGCGGTGAACTCTTTGTACCTTTGAGCCCATTGCTGCTACCATTACCAC